TGGCTCAGTGGATAGAGCATCTTGGCTCAGTGGATAGAGCATCGGCCTGCGGACTGAAAGGTCCCAGGTTCGATTCCGGTCAAGGGCATGTACCTGGGTTGTGGACACATCCCCAGTGGGAGATGTGCAGGAGGCAGCTGATCGATGTTTCTCTCTCATCGATGTTTCTAACTCTCTATCTCTCTCCCTTCTTCTCTGTGAAAAATCAATAAAATATATTTAAAAAAAAGAAAAAAAAAAGAAAAATGCTGTAGCTTTTGATGGAATATTCATGATATGTCTGTTAAGTCCATCTATTCTAATGTGTTACTTCAGACCAGTGTTTACTTATTGATCTTTTGTCTGAAAAATCTATATATTGATCAATGTAGGGTATTAAACTACCCTATTATTGTATTTCTATCTGTCCTTTTAGGTATTAATATTTGTTTTATACAGGAGTAGGCAAAAGTAGGTTTACAGTTATGAGTATGTGAAAGTTTATTATTTGTATTATAACTGTAAACCTACTTTTGCCCATGCCTGTATCTTTAGGTACTGCTCTATTGGGTGAATAAATATTTACGGATGTTATATCCTCTTGTTGGATTGATCCCTTTATCATTATTTAATGCCCTTCTTTATTTTTGTTGTAAAGTCTTTTTGTCTGACATAAATGTAGCTCAGTCAGTTTTATTTTGATTTCCATTTGCATGGAATATCTTTTTCCATCCCTTTACTTTTAGTCTGTTTATGCCCTTTAAGCTGAAGTGAGTTTTTTATAACCAGCATATAGTTGGATGTCTCTTTATTTTATTATATATTTTTAAAATATATGTTTTTTAAATTGATTTCAGAGAGGAAAAAAGAGGGAGAGAGAGAAACATTAATGATGAGAGAGAATCATTGATAGGCTACCTCCTGCATGCCCCCTACTGGGGATTGAGCCTGCAACCTGAGCATGTGCCCTTGACTGGAATCAAACCCCAGACCCTTCAGTCCGCAGGCCGATGCTCTATCCACTGAGCAAAACCATCTCAGCCACTCGGTGTCTTTTGATTGGAAAATTTAATCCATTTACATTCAAAGTAATTACTGGTTGGTATGTACTTATTGCCATTTTGTTCATTGTTTTCTGGCTGTTTTGTACCTCCTCTGTTCCTTTCTTCTCTTGCTCTCTTCCTTTCTGATTTAATGATATTCTGAAGAGTATGATTAACATTCCTTTGTCTTTTATGTATCTACTATAGGCTTTTGCTTTGTGGTTACCCTGAGGTGTACATAAAACAACTTATATTTATGTCTATGTTAAGTTTATACCAACTTATTTTCAAACACATTTTAATGCTCTTTTTATCCTCTGACACACATTTTATTTTGTTTTTGAAGTCACAATTTACATCTTTGTATCTTGTGTATTCATTAACAAATTATTGTAGATATAGTTATTTTTACTACTTTTATCTTTTAACCTTCATAATGGCTCTATATGTGATTAAGTTGTCACCTTACTACAGTCAGGCATCACTTAAGGACAGGGGTACATTCTGAGAAATATGTTATTAGTGATTTTATCATTGTGCAAACATCATGGAGTACACTTACACAAACCTAGAGGGTACAGCCTACTACACATCCAGACTATATGTCCATTACGTCAATCTGTACAGTATGTTATTGTATTGAATACTATGGACAATTGTAACACAATAGTAAATATTTGTGTATCTATACATATCTAGACATAGAAAAGATGCAGTAACCCTAACTGGTTTGGCTCAGTGGATAGAACGTCGGCCTGCGGACTCAAGGGTTCCAGGTTCGATTCTGGTCAAGGGCATGTACCTTGGTTGCGGGCACACCCCCACTAGGGGGTGTGCAGGAGGCAGCTGATCAATGTTTCTAACTCTCTATCCCTCTCACTTCCTCTCTGTAAAAAAATCAATAAAATATATTTTTTAAAAAAGAAAAGATACAGTAAAAGTACAGTATAAAAGATAAGAAATGGTACACCTTAATAGGGCACTTACCATGACTGGAAGTTGCTCTGTGTGAGCGGTGAGTGAATGTGAAGGCCTAGGATATCACTGTACACACAGGCTACACTAAATGTATAACAAATAAACCTTAGCTTATTTTAACTTTTTTACTTTGCTCTTTTGTAATAATACTTAGCATAAAACACAAAGACATTGTATAGCTGTACAAAAATATCTTTTTTTTTTTACCAATTTCTTCTATTATTTATTCCATGTATGAACTAACAAAATATATTTTCTTTATATCTTTATTCTATGAGCTTTTTTCTATTAAAACTTTTTTTGTTAAAAACTAAGACACAAATCACACACATATTAGCTTAGACAGTGGTCGGCAAACTGCAGCTCGCAAGCCACATGCGGCTCTTTGGCCCCTTGAGTGTGGCTCTTCCTAAGCCTTAGGAGTACCCTAATTAAGTTAATAACAGTGTACCTACCTATATAGTTTAAGTTTAAAAAATTTGGCTCTCAAAAGAAATTTCAGTCGTTGTACTGTTGATATTTGGCTGTTGACTAATGAGTTTGCCAACCACTGGCCTAGACCCACACAGTCAGAATCATCAATATCACTGGCTCCCAGCTCCACATCATGTCCCACTGGAAGGTCTTCGGGGGCAACAACATGGAGCTGCCATCTCGGTGGTAACACTGCCTTCAGGAACACCTCGGGAAGGAGGTATCACTCTTTTCGGAAACAGGTCCATCATGGTTTGCTGGGTTCGTTTTTTCATCATAGATGATGCAACATGAACATTCCTCTCTATTAATGAAAACCTTTTGGTGTTGGGGGGTCCATGTTTTCAAACTTTTTAAGGAGCTTCCTGAGGACTGCAAAAGCTTCTGCTAAGCCCTCCACTGTGAGTTCTCTTGAGGGTTCTTCCTTTTCTTTTCCTGCAGTTTCCTTTTCTCTTGCCTCTTCTTCAGCAATGCTTTCCTGTTCCCCATGAGTCAGTTCCTCAGGAACCAGCTCTAGGAGCTCCTGTCATCCTCACCCACAGCTTTGATTTTTGCAGGCACCTCATCTTTGGCAAACCCCTTGAAGTCCTGGATGAACCCCTTGAGTATCTTCTTCCAGATGCCATTCATACACTCTTCGGTCACATCATTCCAAGCCCAAGCAAGGGTGCAGATTCAGTCATAGATGTTACAATCCTTCCAGAATTGCATCAGTATCTTCCTCAGTTGCAGCAATGGCCTGGGTAAAGTTTCTCCTCAGGTGTAGTAGGCTTTAAAAGCTGATCCATTGTTGGATCAAAGAGGTGCTGTGTTTGAAGGAAGAAACACTAGTTTGATATTGGGACGAAGATCAGTAAAAGGTGGGTGTCTGGGGGCAGTATCCACAATAAACAAAATGTTGAAAGGTATGTTATTCCCCCTATAATACTTCTCCATTTTTCTGGCATAACAACTCAGGAGGGCATCTTGGAAGAGAAGCTAGGTCATCCATGACTTCTTAGTGTGCGTGTTTGTGGATATGCTCGAAGGCCCTGGGGTTGGTTCTCACTGTGCCAGATCACAGAGGGTTTCAATCTGTGGCCTATAACATTGCCCCCACTGAGCCGAGTGGGGTAGCTGGTTAAAAACTGTTCTCTACTTTCTACAGTCCTATGGGATCTGCAACCCTGCCCCACTGGCTGCCAGAACCAAGTGATCAAGGAGTGTCCCCTGGGCACAGTCACAACCACTGGGGAACCCAGTGTGTGCCCAAGCTCCTCGCTGGTTGGTACCAATCATCTGGAGCAAGGCAGAGGCTGAGCCCACAGTATTTGGAGGAGTTTGCAGTAGGCCTCTAGGTGTGAAATTAATTAGAAGCTTCTTGGGCTGCAACTTTAAGATAAGCAAGTAGGCCTCCTTCACAGAAAGACTGGGTGCTCTTCAGTCCACTGCCTCTGTGCTGGGCCCTGGGGTGGGCGAGTCCATGTGGGAGCCCTGTAAGAACCGCTTCTCAGCTCACTGTAGCCTTGTGGACACAAGCCCCACTGGCTTTCCTTGGGGATTCATCTCCCAGGTGCAGATTGTAAAAGTTGGAACCCTCCTCATGTTGTTCAGACCCTTCACTCCTTAGGGAGAAGCATGGAGTTGTGAGTTCCCTTCCCCACACCAGGGGTTTATGACAGCCTTGTGGATCAGCCTCTCTCTCCCATTTCAATGTGGGTTTTTTTCCTTCCCATTTGCCCAATGAGTAGGAGTCACTCATTTAGTTATTGGGTTTCTTTATAGGAAACTGTTCTGTATGTAGCTGTACATTTGGTGCATCTATGGAGGGAGGAGAGTTTGGAATTCTCCTATGTCACCATCCTGAATCATAACTTATGGCTTATGTTTTTGATGATAGCCATTCTAAGGAGTGAGGTGATACCTCATTGTAGTTTGGATTTTAGTTTCCTTGATGATTAGTGATGTTGCATATCTTTTCATATACGTGTTGGCCGTCTGTATATCTGCTTTGAGGTCCTTCACCTGAGAGGGACTGCAGCCAGTTCATGGACCACTGCAGGCTCCACAGCTGGGACTGAGGTCTGTCTGATGCAATAGCAATTCATTGTGGCTCTAATTTGCATTGATCTTATTATGAGGGAGGAGGCTAAGATGCCCTTCCCATGTTTAAGAGAGGTTTATAATACTTTCCCTGTGAACTATCCATATTCTTTATGGATTTTTCTGTCTCTGATTTTGGTCTTTTACTTCTTGATTCACTGAAGCTTTCTTTTTTGATAGGAATAATAAGTATTTAGAATATCCTTGTAAAACAAGATTATCTAAGGAACTCAAGTATAGAAAGCACAGGAGGGGTGCTGTGTATGTTTGAGGTCAGGGCGGGACCCACAGGGTGAAACTGAGGAAGGAGTCATGAGGGGTGTCCTTGTGCTGGAGTCAGTGCTATGGGTGATATTAGGGTCTGTGTGGCTGGGCACGCGGGCTGACCTGGGCCTGTTTCCTGGAGCTCACCTGCCTCTTCCTCTGTGGTGTCTATCTCCCCAGCTCATGTGCTCCTCGGTGCAGAAGGCCCTATTTGAGGAGGAGGACCACGTCAAGAAACTGCAGCAGAAGGTGGCCACGCTCGAGAAGCGGAACAGGCAGCTCCGAGACCGGGTGAAGAAGGTCAAGCGGTCTCTGAGGCAGGCGCGGAAGAACGGCCGCCACCTGGAACTGGTGAACCAGAAGCTCAGTGAGAAGCTGGCGGCCACAGCGGGAGCCCTCCCACACATCAATGCCCTCAGGCGGGAACCTGCAGGCAGCACCTACCTGCTGGGATAGCCGGGACCCCACGGCCTCAGCCACATTGCTGGGTGCATTGCCTCTCTCCAGGGAATGGAGGGTGATGACGGTGTTGGACATACACATATTTCAGATCTTGTAGAAGATACTTTTACTATGCACTTGGTAGTGTCTAGCTGGTTTAAAGGGGAAGTCTTGTTGCCCCTACCTGGCCTGGTCCCAGACACAGTGCTTTGAAATCCAGAGGCGGCAGCATCCTCGTGGCTGTGTGCTTGCCTAGAGCCTGTCCTCAGCTTCTGGGAGTAGCCTGCAAAATGCAAAGAACATTTTAGACTTTCTAAATGTATGAGATATCACAGAGCTTGGGCTTATTTCAAAAGAGAAGGTAGTATGGTTGTAGCTCCAAGCTACAGAACAACTACTAGTTCTGAGGAGTGATCTGAATCACGTCATAGAACCATCTGATGTCTCATTTTCTGACCTTTGGAAGAGGATGCTGGCCTTGCTAAGCACTCAAGGATGCCTATAAGTAACAGGTGCAGGGTGTCCCTCCTCTGGCCAGCATTTTCTCACAGCTGAGGCACATTAGGCTTAATGAGCTCAGCACAGGTAGGGGAACTGAGTTGGGCAGTAGGTCATTAAAAAGAGAAATTATACCCAATTTCCAATACCAGCTTTAATCAAGAGAGACATGGCCTTTAGGGGCCTGTCAGGTTTCATCACACCACATTCTGAAGCTGGAAAACCTGAAGTTATACTTTGCCCCTTCTAAATTTTAACTTCTGTTTGCTCAGTAATTTCTTTAAACTTTTCCAAATTCAAGGTGAGCTGTCTTCTGTAAAGACACCTCCTTACGTATTGGGGTCAGATGACCTTACCTTATTCTCATCCAGGTTCCCAAAGGGCTTGCTCCAGGTGCTCTGATCTCTTGCTTCTTTATGCAAACACTTGCCACCCGCCAGGACTGACCGTGCCCTGGAGTAATGTTTGTACATTCGTGCACCTATAGTGACTGCACCTGTACACAATCAAAACACTCATCCTCTTGGGCTAGAAACCTTTTTACAGTCCTACAAGTAAAAAGTAGAGTGTTCACTATAACTGCCATTTGAGCTCCTGACTTAGGCACAATCAAGCCCCAGTTGTGTTAGTGAGAGGTCAGTTGAGGGTTCTCTCTTGGTTATCCTCTATGGCTGGACCTCCAAACTACGTTTCCCTCCCCCACTTTTCCAGAGAGAAGCTTCTGGCCCTTCACTGGGGGATCAGCTGCCCATAAACCACCCATGACAGTACAGGCCCGATTACTGTCTTTGACATTGACAATGGCAGTTACTGTAAGATTTCAGTTCTACTGGCAACCAGTCTCGGGGGTGGACTTTGTGCCACTTGGGTCTTGGTGGCAGTCTCCTGCCCTGGACTGAATGGCATTGGAACTTTTTGCTCAAGGGCACTTCATTTCCAAGCTTCTGCCAGCACTTTATTAGCTGTATATTTCCTAGTGGGGTACAAGAGAAGGTGCATCTTCTAGATTAGTCTTCCTGGGGACATTTCCTTAGGGTGGTTTTGCTTTCACAGAAGGGAATGACAAGCCTAAGGATGATTTATAGTTGTGTTTGCAGAACTGTGGAAGCTGGGTCTCTACAGCTGCAGTATGTTCTCCTTTTTCAATAAATACGCGTAATATTTCAGTCATAAAAGTAAAGCAATGTGTTTCTTTTGGGTCAGGGAGATGTCAAAATTTGGCCTGGAAAGGCAATTTAGATCCTCGGTGGGGGTGGGGGTGGGGGTAGGGGCATGTGTGAGTAACACCTGGGGCTTTTAGGACACCCAAGCTTAAGCCTCCTTTGCTTTCCCTGTTGGGATGTGGCCTAACCCTGTCTCTCTCGGGGTTTCCATCTCTCAACACACCTGCAGAAAAGCAGAGCTATCCTAGCCTGCTCCTCAGAAAGGATGGCAGCTTCATTAATCAAAGTCATCAAAAGCATACCCAGATCAGTTGCCAAAGGGGATTCCCCGGGTCCCTGTTATCTGCTGTGTTATCTTAACCATAGTCCTTGCCACCTGTTTATTACATTAGTAGGATTTTTTAAAAATAGAGAGAGAAAAGAATCTAAGCATATCACTGCAGAAAAACATCAAATCAAAAAAAGAAGAGAGCAAATAACTTCTTCCATTCGGTTTGTTGTCTTTTTGTTTTGTTGACAGTTTCTTTTGCTGTGCGGAAGCTTTTTGATGTAATCCCATTCACTTATTTTTGCTTTTGCTTCCCTTGCCTTTGGGGTCAAGTTAACAAAAGTTTCTCTAGGACCAAAGTCCATAAGTTTAATGACTATGTTTTCTTCTGAGTAGTTTATTGCTTCAGGTCTTATGTTCAAGTCTTCAATCCATTTTGAGTACTCACACTACTCAACAACAACAACAAAATAAAACAATCCAATTAAAAAATGGGCAGAGAACCTGAATAGACACTTTTCCAAGGAAGACATAAAGAGATGGTCAACAGACATATGAAAAGATGTTCAACATCACCAGTTATTAGGGAAATGAAAATCAAAACCACAATGAGATACCATTTCACACCCATTAGAATGGCTATTATCAAAAAGACAAGAAATAAGTGTTGGAGAAAAGGGAACTTACTACATGTTGGTGCGAATGTAAATTAGTGCAGCCACTCTAAAAAACAGTATGATGGTTTCTCAAAAATTAAAAATAGATCTACCATATTATCCAAGCAATCAATATCTTGGATATTTACTGCCCAAATATGAAAAAACATATTTGTAAATATATATGTGCCCCTATATTCATTTCAGCATTATTTACAATAGCCAACACATGAACCAATCTATGTGTCCATTGTGGATGACTGGATAAAGAAAATGTGATATATACATATGTGTGCATACACAATCCTACAGAGTGTGTGTGTGTGTGTGTGTGTAATGGAATACTACTCAGCCATTTAAAAGATGAAATATGGATGGATTTTTAAGAGTATTATGCTAAATGAAATATCAGATGGAAAATGTCAGATAAAATCATATTTCACTCAATTTCAGGTGTATAAGGTTCCTGAAATCTGTTCCATGCTTCCATGCCTGATTCTGTTTTATTCATCAGTTTATTTTGTTCGTTAGATTTCTTGTTCATTTTGATTTTTTAGATTCGATTGATAGATATATTGATAGATTATGTAAAATATAAACAAAAAGTACCAAATGAAATAATAAAATAAACAAAAGCAAACTCTTAACTACAAACAAGAGGAGGGAGGTTACCAGAAGGGAAAGGAGGAGGAGCAAAGTAGGTAAAGGGAATAAAATATATGTTAATATGCCGAAACCGGTTTGGCTCAGTGGATGGAGCATCGGCCTGCGGACTGAAGGGTCCCAGGTTCGATTCCAGTCAGGGGCATGTGCCTTGGTTGCGGGCACATTCCCAGTGGGAGATGTGCAGGAGGCAGCTGATTGATGTTTCTCTCTCATCGATATTTCTAACTCTCTCTCTCCCTTCCTCTCTGTAAAAAAAGATCAATAAAATATATTTAAAATATATGGTAATAGAAGGAAACTAGGCTTTGGGTGGGGGCACATAATACTAGTAGAATACACAGATGTTGAATTATAATCTTGTACACATGAAAATTGTTTAAAATCTTTTTAAAAAATATATTTTATTGATTTTTACAGAGAAGAAGGGAGAGGGAGAGTTAGAAACATCCATCAGTTGCCTCCTGCATGCCCCCTACTGGGGATGTGCCCGCAACCAAGGTACATGCCCTTAACCGGAATCGAACCTGGGACCCTTCAGTCCACAGCCCGACGCTCTATCTGCTGAGCCAAACCGGTTAGGGCTAAAATCTTTATTGTTAAGAGTATTATAGGTAAGATCTTTGGTTAATCTCTTCCCACCTCCTTGCCCCCTTCCCTCTGAGATTCCCCAGTCTGTTCCATGCCTTTGATTCTGTTTTATTTACCAGTTTATTTTGTTCATGAGATTTATTGTTCATTTTGATTTTTAAGTTCAATTGATAGATATGTTGATAGATATGTATTTGTTGCCATTTTATTGTTCATATTTTTTAAATCTCTTCTTGTTGTTCTTAAATAATACCCCTCAACATTCAGATAATACTGGTTTGGTGGTGATGAACTCCATTAACTTTTTCTTGTTTGTGAAACTCTTTATCTGGTCCTCAATTCTAAACGAGAGCTTTGCTGGGTAGAGTGATCTTGGTTGTAGGTCCTTGTATTCATTACTTTGAATATTTCTTGCCACTCCCTTCTGACCTGCAAAGTTTCTGTTGAGAAATCAGCTGACAGTTGTATGGGCATTCCCTTATAGGTAACTAACTGCTTTTCTCTGGATGCTTTTAAGATCCTCTCTACGTTTTTAACCTATGGCATTTTAATTATGATGTGTCTTGCTGGGCCTCTTTGGGTTCCTCTTATTTGGGACTCTCTGTGCTTCTTGGACTTGTAAATCTATTTCTTTCACCAGGTGAAGTTTTCTGTCATTATTTCTTCAAATAGGTTTTCAATATCTTGCTCTCTCTTTCTCTCCTCCTTCTGGCACCCGCATAATGCTAATGTTTGTATTCTTGAAGTTATCCCAGAGGCTCCTTACAGTTTCTTCATATTTTTTTCACTCTTTTTTAAATTTTTTAATTTTTTTATTGCTTAAAGTATTACAAATGTCTCCTTCCCCCACCCCCCCCTTAACATTCCTCCCCAACCCCCCAGTGTCTCGTGTCCATTGGTTATGCTTATATGCATGCATACAAGTCCTTCGGTTGATCTCTTACCCCCTCTTCTTGCCCCGCAACCCTCCTTGGCCTTCCCGCTGTAGTTAGTCTGTTCAATGCCGCTCTGCCTCTGTATTTATTTTTGTTCATCAGTTTATAATGGTCTTTATTATCCATAAATGAGTGGGATCATGTGGTATTTTTCTTTCATTGACTGGCTTATTTCACTTAGCATAATGCTCTCCAGTTCAATTCATGCTGTTGCAAATGGTAAGAATTCCTTCTTTTTTACAGTAGCATAGTATTCCATTGTGTAAATGTACCACAGTTTTCTAATCCATTCATCTGCTGATGGGCACTTAGGCTGTTTCCAGATCTTCGCTATGGTAAATTGTGCTGCTGTGAACATAGAGGTGCATATATCCTTTCTGATTGGTGTTTCTTGGGATATATTCCTAGAAGTGGGATCACTGAGTCAAATGGCAGTTCCATTTTTAACTTTTTGAGGAAACTCCATACTGTCTTCCATAGTGGCTACACCAGTCTGCATTCCGACCAGCAGTGCACGAGTGTTCCCTTTTCGCCACATCCTCTCCAGCACTTGTCTTTTGTTGATTTGTTGATGATAGCCACTCTGACAGGTGTGAGATGATGCCTCATTGTTGTTTTGATTTGCATCTCTCAGATGATTAGTGACTTTGAGCATGTTTTCATATGTCTCTTGGCTTTCTGAATGTCCTCTTTTGAAAAGTGTCTATTTAGTTCCTTTGCCCATTTTTTGATTGGATTGTTTGTCTTCCTTTTGTTAAATTGTATGAGTTCCCTATAAATTTTGGAGATTAGACCCTTATTGGTGTTAACATTGGCAAATATTTTCTCCCATGCAGTGGGCTTTCTTGTTGTTTTGTTGATGGTTTCTTTTGCTGTGCAGAAACTTTTTATTTTGATGTAGTCCCATTTGTTTCTTTTCTCTTTAGTTTCCAATGCCCTAGGAGCAGTATCAGTGAAGAAATTGCTTCGGTATATGTCTGATATTTTGTTGCCTTTGGATTCCTCTAGTATTTTTATGGTTTCATGTCTTACATTTAAGTCCTTTATCCATTTTGAGTTTATTTTTGTGTATGGTGTAAGTTGGTGGTCTAGTTTCATTTTTTTGCATGTATCTGTCCAATTTTCCCAACACCATTTATTGAAGAGACTGTCTTGACTCCATTGTATGTTCTTGCCTCCTTTGTCAAATATTAATTGAGCATATTGGTTTGGGTCAATTTCTGGGTTCTCTATTCTATTCCATTGATCTATATGTCTGTTCTTGTGCCAGTACCAGGCAGTTTTGAGAACAGTGGCTTTGTAATACAGCTTGATATTAGGTGTTGAGATCCCACCTACTTTGTTCTTCTTTCTCAGGATCACTCCAGGTATTCAGAACCTTTTTTTTTTATTCCAGATGAATTTTTGGAGAGTTCATGCCAGACCTGTGAAATATGCCGTTGGTATTTTAATTGGAAGTGTGTTGAATTTATAAATTGTTTTGGGTAGTATGGACATTTTAATGATGTTGAGTCTACCATGAACATGGTATGTTCTTTCATCTGTTTATGTCTTCCTCTATCTCTTTTTCAACGTCCTGTAGTTTTCTGAGTAGAGGTCTTTTACCTATTTAGTTAAGTTTATTCCTAAGTATCTTAATTTTTTTTGTGTGATGATAAATGGGATTTTTTTTTTTAGTCTCTCTTTCTGTAAGTTCACTATTGGTGTATAGAAATGCCATAGATTTCTTGGCATTAATTTTGTATCCTGATACATTGCCGAATTCATTTATTAAGTCTAATAGTTTTTTGATGGAGTTTTTAGGGTTTTTTATGTACAATATCATGTCATCTGCGAATAAGGACAGTTTCACTTCTTCTTTTCCAATTCGGATGCCTTTTATTTCTTCTTCTT